CCCCCCACGTCCGTTCCACTTATCTTTGCCCACAATATGTAATATGTGGGTGCTCCTTGGTACACAGCCGTACCGAACAGAAACATCTGGTTTACTTGATTTTGACCCTGAGCGCTGCTCGCATGTCCCTGACAAGACCTAGCTATACCCACTTCCACCCCATCTGGGTGAGCCCGAAATATATGGGCCTTGAACCCACTCACCCATGCCCAGCCCATAAGTTTCTGACAAGCCCATGTCTTCCTCACTCACTTGAATAGCACCACGCTGTACCGTACCATGTATAACAAGATGCGTTATAATATTTATTGCCTACATTCATTCAAATAATTTAGAGGGCCAGCTGCTTCCAATCTGCTTTTCACGGCCATTCCAGGCACTGTAAGGTATACTTTCCTAGAAAAAATAGATAAAATATGAATATGTCCCTACACGGGAACCGATTCAAACGAGGGTACTCCCATCCATTTCGGGCTGACAAAATATAAACGCCTACTTTGTAGAAAAAAAACACCTGTTTCCTTGTAAAGTCAACCTATATAAAGCCGGGCTATGGAAAGAGCTATAAAAAAAAAAAGAAATCGACCCTCTGGGAAAACTCTGCAATTGCCGACAAACGAGAAGAGAAAGAAAGAAAGAAAATATTTTTTTTTTTTTAAGGGAAAAAGAATAATTCATTTTGATAGGTCATACATCATTTATTAGTTTAAAGATAAAACACAGAAGAAAAAAATGTGATACTTAGACTTCTGTTGATTTTAATTTGACCATTAAAAAACACAAAAAACAATAATATTATATTGTTTTAGTTTTTAAAAAATAACAGATCTCTTGACAGTGACGTAAAACATCTCTCTGATTCCGATCTTTGCAGTGAGGAATGATAGTCGGGAAACTTTGTTTTCACACGGCCAATTCACGGAAGACACAAAATCATTCTGAAAAGGGGGGGGGGGGGGTATAGTTTGAGCTTGACAAAGCATGTTCATGTAATATGAGCACTTGGGATAATATGTGTAGAACGAATCGGATAATGAGCATGGGAGAGAGGGAGAAAAGGGGGAAGAAGGAACTGCATTTTTGGGCATTTTGAGTTATCTATACCATGCTGATCAGTTTGACGAGATCTTTCTTCTCTCAAAGCGAAAAGGTGCTATCTCTACTAGTTTTCGAGTTATAAAATATCCGAGTTACGTCGTATCGAAAAATCAGGACGTATTCAATCTCACGAAGAGTCGTATCATATCATACGTCACTTCGTGAGATACAATAACAATATACTGCTCTCTCAGTATCAGTCATTGCCAATCTCACGAAGGGACGTATCGCTTTCAACAGTGGTTCATAGGCATTGGCATTTGGCCTCTCGCAGCCCTTAAACGTGCCAATGGGCAATCTGGCATGAGGCAGTGGAAGTTCATGCAGTCATTACGCACGTAGTCTTGAAACTTGTTTACAGAAACTGCGATTTTCTGCTGAAGCTCTTTAAAAACGTGTGCCTTTTGGCTGATGTTATCTCTAAATGCCAGGGTGCTACTGCGGAGGAGTCTTTTGAGTTTGACAATTCTGACACTGATCCATCATTTCAACCGGGGCTGTGTGAAGCTAGGCGTTGTAAAGAGGAAGTTTTTGCAGCATGCGATAGGTGTGATGCTCTTTTTTGCTACGTTCATTTTTTGGAGGACACAAATGTGTGTGATCATGGCAATAGGAAGAAAACAGCATTGACCAAGAAAAAGAGGAAAAGAAAACAGAATTGACCAAGAAAAAGAGGAAAAGAAAACAGAATTGACCAAGAAAAAGAAGGAAAACAAAGCAGTGAAAGAAAATAGAAAGGTGCCTGAATCCAGTGAACAACCAGAACATTTCGTTCTTGAAGGCTCACGAAAAGAACATGCAGTTGAAAAACATCCACGAATCAATAAGCAAAAGGCAGCCAAGAGAAAATTGGCTTCAGATGAAGATTATTTCAGCCCTTATACAAAGAAAGTCATGCCTGCAAAAAAAATGAGGGAAGCCTGCTTAGGTGTTACGTGCAAGAATAGAGCACTAGAGTGTGATACAATCACAGAGTCACTGAGGAAAGACATTTTCCAAGAATTCTATTCACTTGCAAGCCTCCAACTCCAACGTGAGTTCATTCTGCGCCATGTAGTGAACAGTGACAAGAAAAAGGAAAGCTCACACCAAAGTCGGCGCCAGAAGACCAATGTATATTACCTGACTGCTCAAGGAAGCCTTGTTAAAGTTTGCAAAAAACTCTTTTTGAACACTTTAGCCATGTCAGACAGAACAGTGAGAACAGCCTTCAAGAAATTGACACCCAGTGGAACAATAGAGAAAGAAAGAAGAGGTGGTCGGCAGTCAGCTAAAATTGTTGAAAGAGACACAAAAATTCGAAATGACATTGAAGAGCACCTGCGGCGGTTCCCAAGGATGGAGTCGCATTATTGCCGTGCAAGCACTGCAAAGGAGTATCTGCCCCCAGACCTGAACCTTAGAAAAATGTACTCCAGGTTTCTAGAGCAGTACCATGGGACTGACCCCCTCCAAGTTTCAGTACGTACAGTCGAGTGTTCAAAAAAGCAAATATGGCGTTCCACACCCCCATAAAGGACCAATGCTCACTGTGCACAACGTTCTTTGAAGGGGATGAAACAACAAAGGCTGAACTCAAGGACGCATTCGAGAAACATGTCTCTGAAAAGAAAAGAGTAAGAGAAATAAAGGAGGAATGCAAGCAAAGAGCATCAACGGATGAAACAGTTCTGAGTGCTACATTCGATCTGCAGCAAGTAATCTATCTTCCCATCTCGAATGAAAGTGCTTTGTTTTACAAGCGGCGCTTCTCCAACTATAACCTGACTTTTTATAACCTCGGAAATGCTGACTGCCACTGCTTCCTGTGGAATGAAAGCCAAAGCAAGCGTGGAAGCTCAGAAATATCCACAGCTGTGTTCGAAGCGCTTCAGCACTATGACAGTTGTGGAAAAAAGATAGCATACCTCTTTTCGGATGGCTGCCAGGGGCAGAACAAAAACACTATCATTCCAACAATGTTGCTATACTCTGTGAACACACTTCCAAATCTCAGAGAGATCTCTCAGCGGTTCTTTGTGACAAACTACGGCCAAATGAGGGGGACTCTGTTCATTGCACTATCTTCTCTGCGATGTCTGCAGCTGGGAACGTCTATGTACCAACAGAGCTGACGCCCATATTCAGACTTGCCAGAGTAAAGCAGCCTTACACCACGATACCACTTGAGTTCTCTGACTTTTGGAATTTCAAGCAATTGTCACTCGACCTGTGTGTTCTGGGAGTTCAAAGAGATTCAGAGAGTGACACTATCAACTGGAACAAAATGATGTAGTTCAGAGTTCTGAAGGAGTGCCCAACAACAATATTCTTCAAAACCAGCCATAATGAGTCAGCGTACAGAACAATCCAATTGAAGAGACACACAAAGCAAACCACAGAGAGTTTCACTCTCTTGAAACTCAACACAGAACCAACCAAAGTTCCAATGGCTAAGTACAATGACTTAGTGTCGCTGTGCTCTGGCGTAACGCCAGTGGTAAGACAAGCTGATCACAAGGCTCTCTATTTTTCACTTCCCCATTAAATTTGACTGAGATATTCTTGGATACTCATAGTGTTACTTACTCATACATCTACATTATGTGAATTGCTGTCCAACATGGTTACAGTTCAAATGAGCTAAAACAGCTCCAAAATATGTCTTTATTTGTTCAAATTTTCTTCAATAAACAATTGGTAATCGTAGTGAGATCTCATGTTTTTTATGCCATTGTGATTTGGTTTTCTCATTTTGCGTATTATGAAACAAAAATTAGAAACACAGTGTTTTTCCTTCCTGCAATACAAAGAAAATGTAATAATACGACACTTGGTGAGATGTCCATTGATGATGGGACCGATGAAGGTATATTTCACGAAGTGACGTATCGGATTTTCTCCCGATTTTCTCACAGGAATGATACAATACTGCCGAAAACAGCATGTGGAGTGAAAATGTACCGCTCAAAGAAGCTTTGATCCAAACCGCATAGATTCCAGTCTTCCGGTTTTGACGCTAGAGCAAAAAGAAAAGTGCCAAAAACTTTAAAGCTCTCTCCTGCAAAACTCTAATTTTGCAGATACGACACTTCGTGAGATGACCGACGATATA